GCTGGAAATGTGTGTTGGGGGGGCAATGTCGGGTGTGCTCAGCTTCTCCAGTCATTTGTGAAATAGGCCCCTTTCCTAGGTTCACAGGAAAGAGAAAGCCCCAGCTGGACGGGGGGCCTGGCAGAGCTGGTCTGGAAACACATACATCAGGGCAAGCCTCGGGTGCTGAGGAAACACTAAGAGGTCTGACTTCCCCTGGAAAAACTACACTCAGACAGGAAATACACAGGCAGGGATGGCTAGCTCTGGAGTTCCGGACACATGTTCTTGCCCCTTTCCCATTAGGAGCAATCAACCAGTACAAAGAAAACCCCCATGACACCCGGCCTGCCTACCTCAGGCACTTCAGGCCCAGTCGGCAGAGCAAGCCTTGTGGTCTGTGTCACCAGCCTGACAGCCACAGAGGTCGAGCCCCAGTCAAGTGGTCCCATTATCACCTCCTCTCTGAGCCTGACTGCCTTGTCTGAGAGGTTTGCTCTATTCTGCCACCACTACCTCCCCACCCCATCAAAGGTACAACCAGGAATTATCATTGTCTGTTTGTTTCCCTGGGGGCAAGGACCTGTTTTCATTCATCACTTAAGGAGGTCTAGCATCTAGAAGAGTAGGGAAGAATCAAAGTGGAAAGCATGAGGCTCCAAAAGTCCCCACAGATGAGCATGGCTGTCATTCAAAGCCCTCCATGGAGCCTCCATCCAGGCCATGATGCCCACAATGACCCTTGACTGAACCTGCTCACCCCAGAAAGGCATCAGAAGGAAAAGTATGGAGCCAGAACCTAGAGGGGCTGAGGGTCAAAAATTTCTCCTTGGAGGAGCAAAAGAGACCACTGGGTATGGAGCCTGAGGCAGGCCCACTGGCAGCACAACCCTGGGGATGAGAGTCCTCTTGGGATGGCCAGCCAGTCAATGATTGGAGAGCTGGGTCCAGCTGAGACTGTCACATACTAGCACTATCACCCCATGGCACAATTCACTCCCTGTATTTCCATTTCCTCCTCTGTAAAATGGGGTGGGACTCCAGACACAGCCCCCCTACCCAGGACCCTTGTGAAGATTAGCCAAGAAAATATGATGAAAAGTCTCTATAGCACTCAGCAGGAAGTCTGTAACTGCTTTGTATTCATTTATGTATCTGTAACATAAAAAGCCAAACATCAACCTGGTTCCTGTCACATCACCATGACAACTAGTACCAAAGCACTCCCCCACCCCTCTTTTGAGCCAAACTACCACTCTAGAAATCAGCACATGTCAGCCCCAATTCACAAGTGGCAAAGTGAAAAGGCAGGGAGTTAGGTCGGAATGAGGTCTGATGCATGAGTGCTGTGCATTTTCATTGAACCACAGCATCCATCCTTCAGGTCCACAGACACCCTGCGGGTAGCAGAAGCGCCTCTCTCCTTGGCCGGGCTACAAGCACTACATGGAACCCTGGCAGAGTCAGCAGGAAAAGGCCAGATGGCAGGGGACACAGCTGGCAGCCCAACCTTCCTCGGAGCCTGCAGAAGGGGGCTGCAGGGATCAGTACCCATGAACAAGGTGCACCAGGAATGGGCAGAAGTGGGGTAGCTTCAGCAAGAGGCTCCACTTACAAGGTGTGACCTCTACACAACCATCTGCTAGCATTTTTACTCAGACTCCTTCAATCTGGGCCTCTAAAATCAAAGGACCAAGACTCCTATATTCTTTGCCTACACTCCCAGCTGATGAGATCACTGAATCTGTACCTCTCTAGCTGACCTACCCCGGGGGCCGAGGCCATTGGGTCCTCTGCATTCCTGTCACCATCCCCTGAAGACCTGACACACCATGGACAAGACTCTTCCTTCTCCACACACCTCCCTCCTGGTTCAGGCCCCAACTTACAAATAAGATAGTCACACCCAGGAGTCAGATGCGCAAATCTCCATAGATTTACTCCATAAATTTTACTCTGTCATGTACAGTGCTATATACGATAGGTGGGAGGGTGAGGAGATGGGTTGAAGCAAAACAAAACCATTTCCTCCCTTTTTCAGGGTAGTGATCTAAGTGAAATGTGAACTTGGTTCCCCTCCTCCTCCCTTTCTATCCCCTCAGGCTCTCCTACAGCCACACTCCACCACCCTCAACACTGACAGTCCAGGATGGAGAGCAGTCATAGTCTATTATTTCTATCATTATTAAAAACAGCTTATATTTATTAAATGTTTACATCGTATCAGGCACTGTGCTAAAGGTTTTACAATTCTCATTTAATCTCCAAAGCAACCATACATAGTGTATATATTACCACTGTTTTACAGATAAGGAAACTTAGCTCAGAGAAAAATAAGTAACTGGCCCACAACTAATATATGGGCTTCAGATCCAGCCTTGCCTTCAACCACGGTGCTGCACTTACTGCCTGCTGATCACATGCACGGTTTGAAGTGCAGTCTGTTAGGAAAAGATGAGATGCAGGAAATCTCTATCAGGGAACCTCCAGCCAGTGCCACCAACTGAGTAGAGCACAGGGAGCACCATAAAGGCAAGGAAGGGGCTGTGCCTGGAGTCTTGATGCCTGGGTGTCGTCCCCAGGACTATCTGATTCCCTGCGGTGTCTTTGGAATCCAGTCTCTCAAATCACTAAATTTTCTCTCGATAGCTGACAGGGCTGATGGAGGCAGAGGAAGGCAGCTGCCATTTCTAAGTTCAGCAGCCGTATCAGGTCCGGAGTTCGTAGCTGAGGATGGCGGCCTCACCACAAGACTTTCCTTCCTCTCAATCTCCTCACCCATCTACACACATGTACACCATAGCCAAGGAGGCCTGCAGGACCCTCCCCTGGGGTGTCACTTCCTGACCCCCCGCCTCCACATGGACCTGGTTCTGACCCTGGCTCTAACACCAGTCTCTAGGGGAGTCCTTGCAGAAAGCAACCCACAACCTAGGGTTGCAGACACACTACCTCCCACACTTGAAGGCGGGGGTATGGAAGGCAGAGCCGGGTGCCCATCCGGCCACAGCACAGGCATGCACTAAGTGGCATAACACTCAAAGATCAGGGGTTTCTCAAAATCCCCCAACTCCCTCCTCCCAACTAGACCTGTCCCAAAGCAGCCAAGCTCAGGCCTGAGAAGGCAAAGAGGCAGGAAACCAAAAGTAGCTACTCCCAGCTCCCTGCAGCCATGAAACACGGGACGCAGGACACAAAGGGCTTAGACCCCAAACTGGCTGCACAGTCTTGAAAAAAGTACCTGACTCCAAGGCACTGAGGCTGGCCTTTCTGGGCCAAGCTCTTGAGAATGTGCTTCCAAGGGCAAGGGGAGCCTGGCCCCTTTACCAAGAGTCCCTGTCCTGGCTCTGTGTCTGCCCATCCACGCAAACCTCTAAAATTCAGCTTCAAGACAAAAGCAGCAGCGGGAAAAAGCCACTGCCTTCTCTCAGGCTTTTCCAAACCAAACAGGACCACCTTCCACCCTCTCCCCAAGAGACAGATGAGTAGGCCTGGCTCGGATCCAAAACCAACCCTACCCCAACATCTAAGTTCTACTCAGGGAACCCAAAGGTTCCTTTGCAAATAGAGCCCAACCCGGGGGCCCAGAAAGTTTCACCAGGCCTACTCCTTTGGGAAAAAAGGTGGTGGGCGGTGACCGTCTGGTCTGGCCGGATTCTGGGGCTAGGCGGGTTGACGCTGCCTGGGCTTCCCTCGCCTCGGTCAACCCCACTCCCGGGACAGGGGGGACCCGATGCCTGCCCGCCGGTCTCCAACGGGCTAGGATTTTTAGGCCTCTGGGCAAAGCGCCTAGTACACTCCCCCCCGGGAGGGGGGGAGGGGGTGTCCTGTCAGGTGACTGAGGACCCGGATGCCCCCCGCCCCCGGTGACCACCGGGGACCAGGCGGGGGCGGGGCCCTGAGGCTGTGGGGGAGGGCCCGAAAGTTTACCCAAGTCACTCCATCGGCGGCCTGGGCGCGCGGGAGCCCAGCGCGGACTCCCGCGGCCCCCGCGCACAGCGGGCCCCGGGGAAGGGGCGCACTTACTGGCCCCCTCGATCTTGTCGGCGCCACGGCTCCACGTGATCTGCCGCGTCTCCAGCTTGACCTGGAAGGTCTTCCGTTCCGGCCGCTGCGACTTCTTGGAGTAGAACAAAGTCATGACGGTGCCCACCTCGAGGCTGCGGCAGAGGTGCAGCACCTCGGCGTCCGAGGGCGCGCCGGGCCCGCAGCCGTTGGCACAGGGGGACGCGGCGCCCGCCATGGCTTCTGCACTGGGGGTGGGGGTGGCGGGAGTGGAGGGGGGGCGGCGGCGGCGCGGCAGCGCAGGCCCGACCGGCGGGAGCAGGAGGCGGCGGCTGAGGCGGCCGGCGAGCGGGCCCGGCGGCGGGTCCTGCGGGCGGAGACGGGGCGGGGCCTGAGCGGGAGGCGGGGCGGCTCTCAGGTCCCGCCCCGGCCCGCGCGCCGGGAACAAAGGCGCCCGCGCGCCCGTGGAGAGGACCCCCGCCCGCCGCCCTCCGCGCCTGCGCCCCGCGACCCCCGGACAGGCCCCGGTCGGGGGCGCGGGACGAAATGGAGGCGGGAGCGCGCGCGCCGCTCGCGGTCAACCAGCTTGTCGCTCCGTCCCGCACAGCTTCCTCACGCTGCCCCGGCCGGCCCCGTCACGCGCGACAGCCCCGCGTCGGCCCGTCAGTCAGTCGTACACGCACAGGCGGCCGCCCAGCCCACTGTTCCGTACAGGCCCAGCCGCAGCCGTTTTCTCAACCTCGCTCCCCGCGCGGCGGCCGGGAGAAGAGGCGAGGGTGCAGAGCGCCTCCAGGCCCGCCGGCCGAACCCGGTTACCTGGGCGGGCTGCCCGGCGGAGGGAGCCAGCCAGGCCAGGCCAGGCCGGGCCGCCTCACACCCGCGGCGGCGGCGGCGGCGGCGGCGGCGGCAGCAGCGGCGGCGGCGGCGGAGGCGGGTCCTCTGCGCGCCCTCTCCGGGGAGGGGCGGGGGCGGAGCAGCCTGCGGATTGGCCGGTGGGCTCTGATGGACAGCAGGCATGTCCCGCCCCTCCCTCTTGGCAGCGCAGGGCTGGCCTTCAGGCCGCTCCTGCGACGGCCGGGCTCCCGTCTGTCCCTCCCTTGCGGCCGGTGTGGCCTTCGACAGACCCGTCATTCGGAGAAGCCCCCAGGCCTGAGCGTCCGCTGTAGGGCCTTTAGACCTGTGGCCCCCGGTGGCCTCCATCTCTGTGCTTCTCATCAGCCACTGCCCCACCTCATGCTCCGCCTCCACGCGCCCCTCTTGCAAATGCTTTCCGGAGCTTTGGTTTTCGTGGCCTAATTCCCCGTGTTTTCCTCCTGCCTCTCCGGCCGCTGCCTTTCAACCCCAGAAGTTCCTCTTCCTCTGGGCTAGGTCCTGAGCCAGTTCCTAAGGCGACCCGAACTTTCGCATGGCTTCACCCCAGACCCAGGCACACGTAGCCCCAAACCTGTATTTCCCCGGCATCCCACTGTCTGTTCCACGGCCCCGCTTAACATGAGCGTCTCACCTCCCTCCTCAAACAGCTCTTTCCGCAGTCTTCACTTTCTCGGAACATGGCACTAAGTCTTCTAAGGTGCTTGGGCCAAAACCCTTGGAGTTATCCTTGATTCCTCTGTCGGCCTCAGCCACCCAGCAATCTAGCAAGGCCTTTTTGCTCTACCATCGGCTATCTCCACTCCACCCACAAGCCTGACGTCCATCTTGTCTCATCCAGACTATTTACTCTCCCTGATCTTGCCTGCATCTATTCATGCTGTAATCTTTAAGAGGAAATTAAATCGCGATCCCCTACCTCCGGCCTCAAACCCTCCATGACTTCCCACTGCACTTAAAATCTATACTCCCTCCTCTCCCAGCTGGTCCTGTATGGTCGGGCCCCTTTCTCTCTCTCCCTCCTTGTCTCTCACCACCTCGCCCTCAACCTCCATGCTCCAGCCACAAGGCCTTTTAGTGGTTATTTGAATAATTCACATTGTCTTCTTGAAGCCATCCCCTAGACTTGCCCCTGCAGTGTAGCTGCCCCCGTTCACAGACAAACTGAAGACACCTGTGGTCACAGTGGAGCCGGTCTGACAGATGTTGAGTCAGGCAAAGCAGGACAACTTTTAGAGGCTAGAGGCCCAGCAGAGCACTCAGCTGATGCCAGAAAAGGACCCAGGTGTCAGGAATTCGTGAGTATATGAGTGTGTGCTCAGACAACCTACCCGCTGGGTGGTGACTCGTGTCTGGGGCTGCCTCTGACTTTATCTTGCTGCAGTGGTAATTTGTGTGGGTTTGTGTTTAGATTCCCTCAAGTGTGGCCCCTAGGAAGCTGAGAATCCAGCATGAAGCTGAGACTTTTGTAAGCTTCAGCCACCTGGGGAAGGTGGAGTGATTGAGATGGACTGCCACCTAGTGCCCACCCTTTAAAGTGGGAGGGAGGGCACAAAAGTTGACCCAGTGCCTGGCCTAGCACTACAAGGCTTACAGGTGTAATCACACCTGATCCTCATAATTACCCTCTAATCAGGGATTACTGTCCCCAATTTACTGATGAGGAACCTGAGATTCAGATAAGTTCTGCAACTTGCCCCAAGGCCACACGAGTAACAAGTGGGAATTTGAACCCAGGTCTGTCTTGAGTCCATGCTTTTTTTTTTTTTTTTTGCTTCACAAGAGAGCTTTAAGTTGGTCCTGGTGGTCAGCAGTCAGTGGGCACAGAGGCTAGCTGGCTAGTCATTACAGGTGAGGGGAGGCCCTCCCTGGGCATGGCTGGCCCTGGGCACAGGGAACTTCACAGAACGTGAATGCTCACAGAGTATGGCTTGGGCTGCCTTGGGCTTAAAGTGGTGCTGCCCCTGAGCTGCCCCGTGCTGGACCTTAGTGTCCTGGGTTGGGAGAAAAAGAGAAATCCAGCACCAACCGTCCAGGGATTCAGACATTAAACAGATAAACGGTTATGTAGGGACGGTTGTGATGGCGGGTAGGGAGGAAGAGCACAGAGAGCTACCGATAAAACATGAGGGACACCTACTTTAGCTCTCTTTTTTTTTAATTTTTTTTATTTTTTTACTTTTTTTTTTACTTTAGCTCTCTCTTAGTAGAAAAGGAAGACCTCTCTAGAACTCAGCAGAGGTCTACAGGATGTGAATAGCTGGCCAGGTGAATTATTAGAGGTGGGTTGGAAGAAAGTACTTTCCAGGCAGAGGTAACAACATGTACAAAGGCTCTGAGGCCAGAAAGAGCTTAATGAATGTAGGAATAAAAAGGCTAGAGTTTTATTAAGTGAGGGGGAACACGGCAGGTGATGAAGCCAGGAAGACAGGTGGGGACTGAATGGGGCCTCTCTATGCTTATCTGATCTTGTCCATTTGTCCTGGACACCCCCTGCAAAGTGCTACAGTCCTCACTGAGCTTCTTGTGCTGACTTGGGCAGCCTGCAGGCTGTGATACACTTTTAAAATTTCTGTGTCTCCATTTTCTGAGAGCTTTCTAGCACGCAGACTATGTTTCCTTGCTTTTTGCTTTTGCCTCCAGGGCTAGGCCCCCAGGGGCTCCGGAAATCTCTATCAACAGGAGCTCATGTTTTCAGTCTGCTGCCAGGCCCTTAATCAGAAAAAAGGCCCCATTTCCTCCTGGGACTTCTGAGCTAGCATCTCAGGCCTCAGGTGCCTCCCTCCACCAAGAGAGATTCAGGAAAAGCAGGGCATGCAGAGGGTGTGGCTGGTTTGGGCTTCCCCCAGCTCAGCATATATATGGGTACGTGGGTGTTCCTGGCAATGCATGCAGCTGAGCTGGCTTGGAGGGAGCAGCCCAGAACCCACACAAGATACATGCCCTGACATCACCCAGACTAGCCCTGCTTGGGCCTGTTTCTGTCAGCACTCGTGCTTCAGCATGCCCCGGCCCACCCCATACCTAGGTGTGCCTGGATTCTGAGTATGGGTCCCAGCTCAGATGCCCCTCTGGCCCTGTGGGCCTGACCTCATAGATGTTTATTTATCGAACACTTAGAACAGCACTTGGCATAGAGTTAAGCCCTATATAAATATAACTGCTTTACCCACATTTGGCTCATTTACTTATTACAGCACTATGAGATAAGTACCCTTATTATTTCCAACCTACAGATGAAAAAACTGAGGCAGAGAGAAAGAGACGTGCTTCTGGACACACAGCTGAGAGATGGCAGAGATGGGGTTCAAACCCAGGCAGCCTGGCTCCAGAGTCAATGCTAATGTTGCCTTCCGTGTGGGTATGAATTATTTCGTTGTGTATTCTCACCCCTTTCCATAATACCCCTACATGATGTTTTCTATTTTTAGTTATAGATCTTCCTTGCCGTATGATGGGGTTACATCCCAATAAACCCATCATAAGTTGAAAATATAGTGTAAGTCGAAAATGCATTTACTGTAATTGAACATCATAGCTTAGCCTAGCCTACCTTAAATGTACTCAGAACACTAACATTAGCGTATAGTTGGGCAAAATCATCTAACACAGAGCCTATTCTATAATAGGGTGTTGAATGTCTCATGTAATTTACTGAATACTGTAGTGAAAGTGAAAAACAGAATGGTTGTATGGGTGGAGTGGTTGTAAGCGAATGGGTTATTTACCTTCTTGATTACATGGCTGACTGGGAGTCATGGCCGTTGCCCAGCATCACGAGAGGGTCGCACTGCATATTACTGGCTGGGAAAAGATCAAAATCCAAAGTACAGTTTCTACTGAATGCATATCGCTTTTGCACCATCGTTAAGCTAAAAAATCGTGAGTCAAACTACCATAAATCAGGGACCGTCTGTATTTGATTAAATGTCACAGATTAGGTTCTTTGGGAAGCAGACTCGGTGGCAGAGGCTAGTGTGCAGAATGTTTGAGAGGGAGGGCTCTTGGGATCAACACTGTGGGAGAGAGAGAAGGAAACAGGAGGGGGCACAGGGAGAAGTTAAGCTGTGATGCAGGCCTGGTGACAGCCTCAGGCAACCTCCAGGGAGCTGTCGTCTGGGGCTGGCTTGAAATGGCTGGGCCTTCATAGTCCCACTTCAGTCAGCCCTGGGAAGAGCAGAGCCTCAGTCACATGGCTCTCTGGAACCGAGGCGATCTTTGAGGGCTGACAGGTCTCCCAGCAGCAGGGGCAACAAGTGCTTCCTTGAAGGAGAATCTCTGTGCCCATCTCAAATGTATTCCATTCCCGTCCTTTAAAAAAATTTAGAGTATTTAAAACAAAGGACAAAAATATTGCATTGTAGAATTGGAATAGGCTATTATAAGAAGGAGGAATATAATACAGTTAGTATGGCTTAACATGACTGTTGTTACTGAGAATCAAATGTGGCTGAGCTTCCTGGTAGCCAAAGCAAAAACTTTTTATTCTGTTAACTGATTCCCCGGGGGAGAAAAATTTTCCTGGGGTGCAATTATAAAAGATGTTTCTCATATGGACACTTATTTGATTGAGATAATAGAGAATGTTCCCAACAGATACGCGGTTTTCTTTTTTTTTTTTTTTAGATATGCAGCTTTCATTTGTTCCTGGTAATGACCTTGCATGAATATAGAAGGGATAATATAAAAGTATAGCTCAATGAAGCCCCTTCCACAATTGAAAGTAGGCAGAGTTATAGGCTTACAGTTTTGTTTCCTCGTACCATTTTCTTTAAAACTGTTCTTTAAAATTTTTGCTTGGTAGTTTCTTATGTTCGGTGTCTGACCAGCTCATCTCTGAGTTTGAACTGGCTAACCTGTACCTCTGTATACAGCTGGTACTTAACACTCACCTCAGTGCACCTTGAGCTCCACCCCACAACCTACAGTTCAGGCTCTTGACCTCTGGCCCCAATATCTATCTATGGCTCCAACTTAGTTGTTGGATCTCACGCTTCTTCTTCTTTTTTTAAAGATTTTTCTTATTTCTTTGAGAGAGAGAAAGAGAGTGAGCACGAGCATGGGGAGGGGCAGAGCGAGAGTGAGAAGCAGACTCCCAGCTGAGTGGGGAGCCCACGTGGGGCTCGATCCTAGGACCCTGGGATCGTGACCTGAGTTGAAGTCAGACACTTAAACGACTGAGCCACCCAGGCACCCTGGATCTCACTTTTTAGGTCATGTTTTTCTGCTTCCCTTCGTACCTGGGATGGACCCTGAGCCCCTCCAGAGCCTCGTGTTTTCAAGGCAAAACCAGGCCTGGCCCAGCCACTGCCAGGACTTCTCTCTCTGCAGACTCTACTAACCCTTTGCTGATGGGCTCTTGTAGTGGGCTCCAGGTGTTGTGGCAGGAGAGCTGGGCTCCAGATGTACCTTGTTCAGGGAGGTGGGCAGGGTTACTATAATTGTTTCACTGAAGTAAGAGAAGGGGAGAGCCCTTGCTAGCCACTGGCCCAGTCCCAGGCTTACCTGCGGTTTTTCTGCTTTCTCTTTCTTTCTTCCAACAAACTCTCCTGATGCTCCTCTATAGCAGGAAGACAGCAGAGATGAATCAGACCAAGTTCTCACTCCACTTGTGGGTAAAGAAATGCCAACAGACGTTTGTCAACAGATGACAATTCAATGTGATAAGGCCCCTGGAGCACTGAGAAGAGACACCTGTTGGTAGCTGTGAGGGTAGAGCTAAGTGAGAGATAATGTGTATGCCTGGAGATATGGCAACTCCCAGTATAAGGTGATCACTTGTTTTTGCAATAAGGGCACTCCAGATGTTTTGTGGCTTCTTTGCAACTAAAACAGAAACATTTTTAGAGACACATGATTCAAATGGCCAATATAAGTTTATTTAGTTAAACATATTCTAAATCACATATTTAAAACAGTATACTTATGAATATTTATTTTTCCTACATTCACCTTTGCAGTAATAAACTTATGTTCAAATTCTCTATGAATCTTTGATTTCTATGTAGTTGTCACCAGGAGAGCTACTTTGAGTCATCTAATATAATTTCTGAAAGCACATCACCTTCACTGCTTTCTAAGTTTCAGAGTACTTTTGAAAAATCAGCTTGATTGAGTAACTTACACAAAAAAAAGTGGACCCCTTTTTAAGTGTAAAGTTTGATGAGCTTTGACAAATGTATGCCCTCATGTAACCTCCACCCTATCAAGGTACAGGACATTTCCATCACCCTGAATCTCAGTGCCCCTTTGTAGTCAGTCTCCCCTGCCCTCTCGTCCAGCAATCACTAACACACTTCCCATCACTAGAGTAGTTTTGCCTCTTCCAGAATTTAATATAAATGGAATCAAGGGGTATGTAACCGTGGTCTATGTTCAGCATGTTTTTGAGACTCATTCATGTTGTTGAAGAGAATACTTTTCGAGTCAGTATGTGATGCCATTACTAGAAATCTTAATCTAAGCATAATTACCTTTTGTGTAATATCAAAACAACTTTCATTTCTTTCATAGGTATATATTAATGATCTGCATAATAACTACTTACTGTATTGCACTAAAAATTATATGGAAAATTTCAAATGTATGTAAGTGTAGACAGGATAGTATAGTGAACTTCCTTGTACCCATCAGCCAGCTTCAATTATTAACTGATGGCCACTCTTTTTTTTTTTTTTTTTAAGATTTTTATTTATTTATTTGACAGACAGCGAGAGAGGGAACACAAGCAGGGGGAGTGGGAGAGGGAGAAGCGGGCTTCCCGCCGAGCAGGGAGCCCAATGCGGGGCTCGATCCCAGGACCCTGGGACCATGACCTGAGCCGAAGGCAGACGCTTAACGACTAAGCCACCCAGGCGCCCCTGGCCACTCTTGTTTCATGTCAAACTCCACCCACTAACCCCTTCCATATTATTTTGACACAAATCTTAAGTCTGTTTAAGTATGTGTTTTGCTGAAACTGTTAAAATACACACACGTATGTGTGTGTGTGTGTGTATATATATATATATATATATACACACATATATATACTATCATACTATTGCCAAGCCTAAAAAAAAAAAAATCAATGCTGTCTTGCTATTAAAGTTACCTTTAAGAGGCTTGTTTATATGTAATACTTGGGATTGTGAGAAATAATTACTAAGTCTGTGGTAAATTTCTTTGCCTCCTTGTTCACTGATTTTGTCAGGGGACTACTTATAATCGTCCAAAACTAGCTTGACTGAGGTCATTTCAGGGTAATGTCTTTTCTCCAAAAAGTGCTTTTTGGTTCAAAACAAGTTGAGAGAGCATCCCATTATATGAGGGATTTTGTAAAGACTGAAATAAGTAAACTCTTTTCTGAGTTTAAAAAAAAATTATAAAGCTTTTTGCAGGAGAAATACCTGTATTTGATGTATATGGCATTTAGGAGGTGATTTCAGAGTTGGTAATTTACTGGATGTGGAGGTAAGAGAAAGGAGTGAAGGATGGTGGTGGCCCTAGACTCTGGTTGAGGGGCAGAGTGCATGGTGGTGTCTTTCCCTGAGATGTGACACAGCCCAGTGGCCGCGGAGTAGTTGGTACTGAGCTCAGTTCCAGAGATTTGAGATTGAGTAGCTTGGGGACATGTCCTGCAGCTCCAGCATGGGTCTGGAGCTCAGGAAAGGGGCCTAGGCTGGAGATGGGAGGTCTGGGAGTTGTTGCCCTCCTGTGCGAATGAAATCCACTAGCCCCTTTCTTCTGTGCAGAGGAGAGAGCCACAGAGCCAGGACCAGAGAGGGGAGATGACCAAGATGCAGCAGCCTGAGAGAGACAGGAGTAAAACCAGGAGAGGGTGCCATCATGGAAGCTAGAGAGAAGTGCTTGGAGAGGGAAGGGCTCACATGTTGTACCATTCCATTTGTATGTATGTCCACCAGAAAAGACTAATTTATAGAGAAAGTAGATTAGTGGAGGCTGGAGGTGGGAGTGGGGATTAACTTTAAGTGGGCACGAGGGATCTTACTGGGGAGGATGATATACATAAACTGGTTTATGGTCATGGCCATAGCCCTCAGTAGTTACTAAAAATATACTTGGAATGGGTGGATTTTATGATACGTAAAATGTTTTCAATAGAGCTATTAAATGGAAGAGTGGTTAAGTGTCCAGCACCACAAAGAACTTAAGATACAAAATGCAGAGCCCATTTGTTAGTTTGGTCATTCATTCGTTGGTGACTGTGGTCAGAATGGAGGGAGGATTGAGTCAAGGTGGGACAGAAGCCGGTTGCAGCGGGTGGAGGAATGACCCGGCAGGGCGGGTGACTCACTCCAGGCGCTTGTACGTAAAATGGGAGACGGAGGGGGTGGTGGCTGGAAACGGCTGGGAGTTACAAGACTTTTTTCATTTTTTAAATATGACATAGGCCCAAGGTGGATTTGACAAAAAAATGGACATGAGCTGCTGAGCAGATGCAGGGGGTAAGGGAAAGAGGAGCCAAGCAAGCACCCAGATAACCTGGCACATGGAAACCATCCCACTTTGCCCACAGCTGGACTGGAGCATCACAGAAAAGCCTGTTAGGAGGGAGTTTTTCAGACTACACATCAGGCTTCTGCTTCTGGACAAGGCTGAAGTGTGAAGAGGGAACCAACCTACTGGAGTAATAAGCAAGGGGGTGGGTCTTCTCCCAACTCCGTTCTCAAGCATTTTTCGGGGCCTGTCCTCTCTGGCCCTCACATACCTGTCCAACCTCTTCCCTCATCCCCACTGGCCGGGTCAGCTTCCCATCCTCTGGTTTGCTCTCCCAGGCCTGCCACCACCAAGGGTGACCTTCACGATTTTTTTTGACCAGGATCTAGTTGCTGTGCTCCTGCCCTCAGAGGACTTGTGGGAAGATCCCTGCTGGAAAAGGTAAGCAGGAGTTTCTCCTCATCAGTAAAATCTTATGCCTGCAAGGTCTCCTGCCCCTAATTTCTAGTTCTGGACCAAGGTTTGTCACCTGGTTGTGGACAGTCCTGCTTAAGTCCCAAACCTCAGGTCCAAATTCTCATCACCTACCCCCCCAGCCATTAAGTGTTTCGATTATTTCAAGAGCCTCTGTGTTGCCATTCTTTATGTTCAATGGTTTAGCTACCTCAACACCACAGAATTTACAAAACTTGGCTGTAATTGCTCCAAAGCACTGATAGCTACATAACCTCCTTTATTCCTGGTGTGAATGTTCCCTCCCTCACTGGCCAGTGAAATGCAGGCTTGCCAAGAAGGACCTTCCAGGGTTCTCTTCTGTGGGCCAACACCAGCCCAGCCCCAGGGAGTTAAGAGACCATCAAGGAGATGGCTCTCCTCCCGAATATACCTGTGCTTGCTAGCAAGCCAGAGGGCCTAGGGCTAAGTGACCTTCCTGCTTCGTTTGGCCAGGATAACTCACCTTTCACCCTGAACCATTTTTGTAGGGACCCTACCAACATGCGTACAGGAGCCCTGGGGAGTAGTGACCACTCCCTTTTTCAACTAACCAATCAACACAGGGAGTCTACTTTGGGCCTCTGGGATCCAGTGAGCACTGGATTAGAAATTGGCTTAGTACCCTTAATTCCTGCCATCCTGACTGTAAGCTTAGCCACACAAGCAAACCCGAACAAGCTCCCTACAGCTTCTGGCCAGCACACACGGAAAGTGGAAAATCTGCCTCCCAAATACGTTCACGCCATCTTGCTCAACAAACATTTCCTACCCTAGGCTCCAAATAGCTGTTGTACCCCACCTGTTCTTACCGATTTTCTATACCCTCTCTTACTTCCTGGGCCTGCTTTTATCCAAGGATGTGGACTCTGGCTCCCCTCTGACCCACATCCACAGCAGCGGGACAGGTACAGCCCCTTCCAGGCCCAGCCCAGCCCCAGTTCCTGGGGAGGGAGCCACCCTTGCTGAGCTGAGCAGTGAGACCACATCCCATATGGGAGTCCCAGCCCTGTAGCCCCAGTCAGGCCAGGGACTCTGGGTAACAAAGAGGCAGACACTAGGTTTCCGTTAAGTTGTAGGAATTTATTTTAAATAACCTACAGTTGATTAAAAGGGAATTCATGATAAAAATAGAAGATACTTGAGGAAAGATGTGGGAAATGGACTCTGCACACACACTAAACTAACAATGCCTCTAAAACTAATGATTATAGCAAAAAATGTCTTCACATTAAAATTCTGCTTTTTATGTTTTTTTTTCCATTTTTTACACAATTACAAAAGAAAAAATAAAAGCCCTAAATTCTTGATTATTTTTCCTTTTTTGGACCAAATACTCATTTTCCTCTAAATTATTGACTTGTGGAACTTTTTACACAATAAAATCTTTCAAGTGAAAGACTAGGTTTAAAATGAAAAAGATGGATATCTGAAGAGTACAGAGAATGCTCAGAACAAAGAATGATGGGAAAATGGTTTCAGTCACTGATTATTTCATTATCCTTAGACTCACTCAACCCCTCATCCCTCCCCAACCCCAATCTACACGATCTTTAAGATCAAGAAAAAGGTTTAAATATTTTAAAATAATTAAAAAGAAATAAAAATTCACATTTAAAAAGGAACACTCAAGTCAGGAAATATTTTCCCATCATGCTTTTCTGTGAACAGGTGTCTGAACCAAAACACTGCCGATGTCACGACTGCTTCAAGTTTAATGACAATTGATTCCCATGACAACAGTGACAACTCTCACTAACAGGTGCGTTGGGTTTTTGTTCTACTTAATTTTAAATTCCTGAAATGGGGGAAAGGGGAGGGAGTTTAGGAATTCATTTCTATTAAAATATAGAAGTTATTGCAAAACCCTAACTGTAAAAACGCACCAATATAATCGGACTTCGTATACAGTAGCTAAGAGAATCCAAATGCTTCAGTGAAACAGTGAATTTGTCTGGCAGAACTCTGACAAATTCCCATCCACTTGCCCTCTCGAAAATAAAAACAAAATTCAAAACAAATCATACAGCTAGAATTTTGATATCTGAAATATTTTTAAATAAGTTGTCCATAGGACAACTGGCTCAGCTCTCCCTTATAATATCTCCAGGTTTATCTTTTCTCAAAGATGTTGGTTTGTTAAGACTTGCCGCCTCTCTCCCTCAGGTGTGAGGGTTAGCAAGGCTCACAGTTTATCCATCTTCCCCAAACCACACTGTTCCTTTTCACAGAACCCTGCCCCTCAAGACTGGCTAGAACTCGTAGTCCTCATCAGCCATGTCGATAGCCCAGGCAAACTTCTCCCGCTGGGTTTTGTTGTAAATTTTCTCAATTGGGACCCCCCACTTCTTGCACCTGCACACAAAGGAGAAAGAAGGGGATTAGTGTCTCAGGGAGCAACAGCTCGGACCCAGGGTAGGGGGCTTGAATGTGCCTCCTTCATGTCCATCTGGTGAGAATGAATTTTAAGGGTGTGCAGGACATATTCTAAGAGCATCATGTGTCATTTAAATCATGAGCGTGACCTCTAAAGTTGATGTTAATACAGATGTACTAATGAAAAAGGTACACGTGAAAATAACTAAGAGAGAGAGTTGAGTAATTTGCTTACATTCTCATGCAGCTACAGAGCATGGAGCTGAAAACTGTAACCTAGCTGTCTGGCTTGAGTTCATGCTCTTAACCACTGTGCATACTGCCCCTCAAGCTAACCTAACCTCTAGCACCCAACAGAAAGGGCAGAAAGGGTGCAAGAGCTGAGTGGAACCCCTGACACAGAGGAGCAGGTGCCAGAGAGATGGATTCTTCCACCTAAGCTTAGAACAACTCAATTAATAAGCATCTTCAAAAAAATAAAAGCCGCTTATTTTGGATGTCATTTTAGGACTGTGTGGGGCAAGAGGGGACACAAATAATAGAGAATTTATCGTCTTTGTTGTAAGCTTCCTCTAACTCTTTCTGTAGGTTGCTGAGATCTATATTCTCATTTCTATTTTTTTCTGCTTGTTCCTTTCCTCCTTTGCTTGTAAAAAAAAATTTTTTTTAAAGTTCGAGTGCAGACAGATCGGCTCTTTTATAGTTTTCCTTTAATAAGGGCTAAGAATTCCCATTCCTGTTCTCAAGTTCCACAGAGGTAGGGGCTGCAACTGCCTTTTAAAAACAGACATAAATACATTCCAAGGCAGTATAACATTATTGACCATTTAGTGCCATTCAGCATGTTCTAGTGCATTTGTACTACGCATAGTAGAAAGGCAGAGGTTTCCCAAAGGACTTAAAGTGTGAAGTGCAGGAATGGCATATGAAGGCCAACAGTGCTCCTCAACTCCCTCCCTCCCCGCTCTCCTTTTCAAGCCAGCAGCAGGAACTCAAGAAGGGCTCAGTGCTTACCAAGCCACTGTGATCCTCGGATCCAGATAATTGAGTTTGGAGGTTCCCAAAGCAATTTGTTTATTCTCTTCTCGGTCTGTGGCCTGAACTTCGAGCTTCATTAACTGCTCCTCCAGTCTCTGCACAGCCTTCTTCTTTGACTCTACCACCCTGGAAGAATGGAAGTCATTCAAGAACCAGGCCTAGCATCTGGGACAAGAACACTGCAACCCCACCCTGCCATGCAGGGGCAGCAAAAACAGGAAAGCCCTAAATACAGAGATTTCCAAAAGACACCACTCAGAAACCCCAGAAAGGCTGGGGCCCCGGGGCCTCTGATACTGTCCCCACTTTTCTGTCAACCAAACCCCAGCTTTGCACAACACCAGGTACATACTTCTTGGTCTTTGCATCCTTTAGGACCTTGGCATCAGCCTTAGCACTTTTTAGGTCTCTCCGGGCATCTGCTAACTGTTCCTTCTTGGCATCAATCTAGGTGAGGAAGAACAGTAAGGTTTAAGAAAATCAGCCCAGAGAGAAAAAAGACAGGCTCCACCAGAGATGAAACCTAAAAGTTGTCTCGGCAGGCAGGCTGTCAGTGGTGTGCCAGGTAAAAAACCCCCAGCGGTGGCTTCTGGAAGGCACAGAGGAGATGTACAGTGACTGCTGAATTCAACTGCTATTTTGCCATTTATGTTCTTTGCTGACCCTTCAAGAAATAAGTGATCCTTCTACAGGCAGTGACCCAGGGCCCCCTTAATGCAGAAGCTCGGGTTAAAAGAACGTGCCAGGACTGGGAATGTGCTAATCTTTCAATCAGAGGACATGTTGGCTTTAGACACCTGGGAGGAGGGCCACAAATGAAAACTGTTTGTCGAATGGATCCTGTGCCAGGGTGTAGTTTCATTCTCAGAATACTACAGGAGAGAACTCTTTATGAAGCTGAGACAGGATCCTTGCATCTACGGAACCCAGCTCATTACTCAGATTCTGCCAGTGCTCTGGGAAGGAGCTGCCAGCTTCTCAAGAAAAAAGTATACACTGAGTAGAGTACCTAAGGGACTTAAAAATGGCAACTGAAATACCCAGGAAGCAAACAGCTCAGCCAGTCTGTTCAAACCTATGCATGGCTTGGCTCTGGCATTCTGTTTTTAAAAAAGAGAGCTGAGACGGCAAGGAAATTGAAGTAGTTATCACTCAAAAACAGAGGTCTGAAAACATTTTTGGCTATGGAGCGCTTTCTATAAAGGAAGAAAACAAGGGCAATTCCAGCCTTTCTTGCTTATAGAACCCTTGAAATACCTCCAGAAAACCCAAGTTTTTCGTTTCTGCTTAAGGACAGCAGCAGGCAACACCACGAAACCAGAGCCTGAACCAGTCAGCTCATACTGCTGGGGGGCAGAACCTCGGACGTGCTATTGCCTTGCTAACCTGTGAAGTCAAGGGAACCTTTGCGGCGTAAATAAATACTTGCCTGATTCAACACACATGGGGCTGTTACTCTCAGGCTAGAACTGTCTGTTAGGTATACACAGCCCAAGACTAGAAACAGAGGCCACCATTGTGAGAGAATCAT